AAAGTCTTTTTTTTTTTTTTTTTGTGGCACTGGGGTTTGAAGTCAGGGCCTACACCTTAAGCATACCACAAGCCCTTGTGTGTGTGTGTGTGTGTGTGTGTGTGTGTGTGTGTGTGTGGTGTGTTGTTTTTTTTTCGAGATAGGGTTTCTGTGAACTATTTGCCCAGCTGGCTTCAAACCGAAATCATTTTGATCTCTGCCTCCTGAGTAGCTAGGATTACAGATGTGAGCCGACAGCACCCAGCTCCCTCAAGTTTTTAAACAGGAAGATTTTCACTTTCTTTCTTTTATAATTAAAATTTTAATATGTAAGTCTTTGCCACATCTTTGACATTTTTCTTAGGGCTGATTCTTACAAGTGGGGTTACATTACATTTTTTTTTTTATTGTTGTGGTGGGTGTGGGGGTACACTGTGGCATTTACAAATGTTCTTACAATATATCAAATATATCATACTTGAATTCATCACCTCCACCATTTCCTTTATTTCCGCCCCCATGTTACATAGAACAAATAGGATAGAAACAAATAGGATAGCATTTAGAAGGTCAAGTACTATGATACTTCTAGAAAACAACTTAATACTCTGTAGATCCTCTAAGCGATGTCCTTCTCCATAGCTACTTCCTCTATTTCAAATATTGCTCTTCTTGATTTTTAAATTTCAGACATTATCTATTGATGCTACCTACATAAGTGGAATATTTAGATCTCTTACATGATCAAATACCTTTTTCTACCTTCTTCCCATCCAATCACACTTTTTGGTTAAATCAATATTCAGTATTTTGGTGACCAACTGATGCAAGATGTACTACCTTTGTGACTACAGACTGCAGCAAAACCCACAAAAGCCCCTTTAATGGCCCCTGGCTTCTGTGTGGGAAAATCATGTCTTCTCTGTTCCCCAAGGTGTGGTAGCAAAAGTACAACATCCGCTCTCTGCTTGTCTGCAAGTACAACGGGATCCTGATGGTTTGAGGACATTACAGATTGATATAGTAGTCTGGGTGTAAAAAAAGAAATATGTCATCTCTATCCAGTGGTGCAGGGTGAGATGGCCACTGGCATATCCTTCCATGTGGGCATTCATCCAAGCAAAGGGGTTATCCTAGGCTAAATCTGGACAAAGATTGGGAAAAAAAGCCTTTAATGTAAGGCCAAGTCTTAACAAGTTGGCAAAGAGAAAGGCAAGTAAAAGGAAGAACCTATTGAGAAAATGCAAGAATGAATGTAACCTGCTCTGCAACCACGGATTAACTGTAGATTTCTAGCCTAGTGTGTATTTCTTTGGACCTTTTCAATGTGTCTCTAGAATGTTTCATTTCTCACCAATTTTGCCTTAATGAATATGCTTTTGCAAATTTGATTAATAGTTTTATGAATAAAAATTGGATAGGTTAATTTCAAATGGCATTTACATCATTTTATAAGTAAAATCCACTTATCATAAAAATATTCAGGATTTACATTTTTATGCTATATAAATATTAGTCTTTCAGCCATATGGAGCACTGTGATTACATTTCCTTTCTTACACACTTTTAATTTTTTCACTATAGCTAATAACTACTTCATTTTGTTCAATGCAAAATGGTTAATGTGGCTGTTTTAAAACAGACTCCTCAAATTTCCTTGACAATCTTATAGAGGTCTTTAACTCCTAGCCTTGATTCTAGGTGGGACCATGAGTATTTTAATGGGAGACCATAGAAAGACACCAACTTCTGAGGCTGCTCGTAAGGAAGATGCTGCTGGGTGCTGGTGGCTCACGTCTGTAATCCTAGCTACTCGGGAGGCAGAGATCAGGAGGACTGAAGTTCGGTTTGAAGCCAGCCTGGGCAAATAGTTCATGAGACCCTATCTTGAAAAAACCCATCACAAAAAAAGGGCTGGTGGAGTGGCTCAAGGTGTAGGCTCTGAGTTCAAGCCCCAGTACTGCAAATAAAAAAAAAAAAGGAAGATGCAGCCTCTGCCTTGCTTGGTGGAACAACTGTCTTCAGAGGTCTGAGCTGTTTAAGGCTGTTACACTGTGAGGAAGCCAAGCTAAATGGAGAGGTCATAGATGAGAATAGTTAGCCAGCAGTCCAGTTTTCTACATCTCAGCTTAAGTGCCAGGTATGAGCGAAGAGGCTCCAGCATCGCTGTCACCCACACCTGGTTTTTCCAGCTGAGGATCCAGACATCACGGAGCAAAGCCAATATCATCCCACTGTGTCCTGTCCAAATTCACAACCGCCAGAATCCATTAATATAATAAAATGGTTATTTAAAGCAGCTAAGTTTTGTTCTAGCTATAGAAACTGGAACATTTAGCTTTCTATAATTATTAGTTCATCACAAATTCTCAATATGGTCAAGCATATTAGGTGACTTATAAGTTCCATTTTTTTATTTGAAGATCTCTTGTCTGGATACATAGCCATTAGCCTAGGACTTGCTAGGATGACAGATGGGGTAGCATCTTAAGGATGTGAACCCTGTAGCTGAGTTGCCTGGACTTGTTGCTCAATTCCTGACTTTCTATTTGTGTGACTGTGCACAAGTTACTCAATTTCTCTATGCCTGAGATTCCTCATTAGAGCAATGCTGGATATATAGTATGTGATGCTACTGGGAGCCATATTGTTGTTGTTTGCTGTTCTTTCCTTCATATTGTCATGGAAATTCCCATTGCCTTAGGCTTACATCTGATCTCCTAGTTCCCAGACTCCAAGTCTTTCTGTCTTTTTTGAATAGTCCTTCCTTGTCTTGATGGAATATACCACCTGCTTTCTGAAACAAAGGTGCATGGAAGGTAAGTTTTTGAAGCCTTGTAGTTTTTATGTTTATTTTTTAATATTTATCGCTTGAGCTACTCCTCCAGCCAGAAGCCTTATAGTTTTAAATTGTCTTTATTTAATATCATTCTTGATGATGTTATGACAGCATAAAATGGTAAATTGGGAACAATTTTCTTTTTGCATGTTGGAGGTATTATTCCACTGTCTGAATGTTTTCAGTGTCACTAGTGAGGTATCATTCTGACTCTTGCTCCTTTGTATGAATGTTTTCTTTTTCTTCCTAAAGATATTAGAGTATCTTCTTTACTCCCATTGTTTTAAACTTTGATGATAATGTGACTTGGCGTGGGTTTGTCTTTTTCTGGACTGAGGATGGAAGCTAGGGCCTTGTGAATGCTAAGCATGGGCTCTCCCATTGAGCTACAACCTAAGCCTGGTGTGGGTCTTTTAAAATCATTATTTAGGTCATTCTTTCAATTTGGAAACTCAGGTCCTCCTGTTCTCAGAACTTTTCTTTTTAAAAAATTCTTTGTTAGGGTTGGTGGCATACCTCAAGCGATAGAGTGCCTGCCTAGCAAGCAGGAAGCCCTGAGTTCAAACTGCCCAGTACTGCTAAAAAAAAAAAAAAAATGTTAATTGTATCACCCCTATTTTCAGTTTTCTCTGACTCTTAACACATGTAAGACTTTCTGAACGAGTCTTCTAATCATCTTTTCTGTTTTATATTGTCCTTTTTTACTTTACGGGAGGTTTTCTCATTTGTATCTTCCATTCTCTTTTTTTTTGTGGTATCGATGTTTGAACTCAGGACCTCATGCTTGCTAAGGAGGTGCTCTTACTTCTTGAGCCACTCCACCAGCCAGCCCTGTTTTGTGTTGGAATTTTTGAGATAGGGTCTTGAACTATGATCCTGATTTCTGTCTCCTGAGTAGCTAGGATTATAGACGTTGAGCCACCAGCACCCAGCTCTTCCATGCTTCTGAATAAAACACTTTTTGTGGTCATATTTTTACATTTTATAATTCTGATTTCTTATTTTGGGGTTGTCCTTTTTCATATATCACTTGTTGTTATTTCATGATTTAATATTTTGTTTGCTATGCCATTGCAATGCTTCTGAAAATGTATCTTTCTTGCATTGTCTTTGTTTCCCTTTCTGTCAGTTTATTTTGACTCATTCTGTCATTGTGGAGCCTTTCTTAGTACCATGTGGTCCTCTGTTACCTACTCTGCCTGAGGGTGAGACAGCTGGAGATTCTGTGCATAGAGTGCTGAGGCTTATCAACTGGTGGGTCTCACTGTACAGGACTGCTCAAAGACTTGGCTTGTTTACTGAGCCACCTCTGTAGGTCTTTTCTCCTGGGGTTGATAGTTTCCTAAGAAAGGACTCCTCCAGTTTCATATCTGGTATATATAGGGATTTTAAGCTGGCTGCTAGCATTCTGAGAGTCCATACAGGAACAGGGTTGGGAGAGGAGAAAGAGGCTCTCTGCTGTTAAGCATGGTGGTTGTTCTACCTTTTTTGTTCTCAGGTGTGCCTGGTTTCCCATGTCCAGAGCCTCACACTGACCCAACAAATTCTAAGCATGAAGTTAAATAAATCCTATGAGGCTTTGGATAAAAAGGCAAGAACTTTTTGCACTAGAGTTTCTGAATTAAAGGAAAACGAAAAACATTCCCTCTCACCTGCCACCCCTGTGCTCCCCAAAAACGAAATTTACCCAGTCCAAGCCCCTTGACCCTTTCCATTTCACCATGCTTTTTTTCTTTGCTAATGCCTCAGAATGAGTGTTCAGGGTCCAAGTTTGTTTTTAAAATAACCCAAAGAGCTGACAGACGGAGCTCTGGATCTCTGCAGCTTGTGCTATAGTCCACAGATGGGAAATTGCCGTTAAAGGGTGGTGCTATTACCATGCCCAATTTCTGAAAGCCTTTAGAAAAAAATCCTGTGAGTTAATTAGCATTCTCCACAGGCACTAGTGCTGTGCTGTAGTATTCTAAGAACTCAGTAAGAAAACAACCTTGCAGTCTCTTAATTTTTAACTAATATTTTACCTCTTAAAAAATGTAGATTGTAAAGAAAGAGTTTTACATATTAAATAAATATGTGTTTTTTTGGTGGCTGATCTAGCACCTTAAATCATCATGAAATATGAACTGTACTCTACAATCAGCTAATAGTAATGGTACCAAAAACAGGAGTGATTTCCACTTACCTCCTTGACCTGCTTAATCCATAAATCTCTTCCAAGAGATTCCTGATGTAAGACTACAGGGGCTGAATTTAGGTTAAAAGTCATGGACTCACTGGTCTTTTCTTTAATAAAAGGCTGGAGGTCAGAATTTATCTAGAAAGGGTAGTTAAAGGAGTTACATAAGTAAAATGTATGTACACTAGTATGTCTTAGTCATATGCAGAAAACACAAGTTATACAGTTTTTACATGTACTTCAATAAGCAAATGAATGTTTCAGATGATTAATAATAACCTTTAAAATTCCTTAGAGCTAATTTTTCTTAATACATTCTTTTTTTTTTTTTTTTTTTTTTTGGTGGTATGGGGATCAAATCCAGAGCCTCATGCATGCTAGCCATGTCCTTTTCTACTTGTTATGAGTCTTCATTTTAACTTCTGAGTTAAAGGTGAGGATTTAAATTAAGATTTGATAAATATAATTACTTAATAAACAAATTTAAAATTCAATAAAATGTACAAAAACTTCATATGGAGATATGTATATTTTTCCTGCCTCATATGAACTATTTAAGTAACATTTAAAAAATATATAGTAAACAAAAAGTTAAAATTACATATAGAGGCAATATTGCAGCTAATTTTGGTATATTTTATATTTTACATGTTATTTAAAAGAATCAGTTTTCCCTTCTCTCCTTCCTTCCTCTATTTCTTTCTCTCTCTGTCTCTGTTTTTTTGAGTCAGGTTTTTCTTTTTTGCATTACTGGGATTTGAACTTGGGTCTACACCTCTAGCCACTCCACCAGCCCTTTTTTGTGAGGTTTGTTTTTTTGAAGTAGTATCTGAGAACTATTTGCCTGGGCTGGCTTCAAACTGTGATACTCCTGATCTCTGCCTCCTGCGTAGCTAGGGTTGCTTGAGACAGGTATTAGAGTTCCAGGTTGACCTGGAACTCTTAATCCTCCTGCCTCAGCCTCTAGAGTGCTGGCATTATACCCATGTGAAGCTCAAACCTTTTAATTTTAATTAGTGTAAGTTTCATTAACTTCATAATTTGTTTTACATAAGGAGAAATAAGAGAACTATAACAAAAATAACAAGTATTTTTCCATTCTGTGAATGGTAATAGTACATGTCATTTATTAATAGGTAAGAGTTCTCTCAAGAATCTTTTCAGGTAGTAAGAAAAGATATGCATTCAAATATGGCTTAAGTAGGGCTAGAAGTGTGGCTCAAGTGGTAGAGCGCCTGTAGAGCAAGTGAGAAGCCCTGAATTCAAACCCCAGTATCACAAAGAAAAACAAAATTCAAGTAAACTGTAAAATAACTTTCTATTTAAATTACATGGCACTTACCAATCATGCTGTTTATATTACATAACAATTACCATCTATGACTGAAAGATTTTAAGCACACAATAAACATTTTCAAGATATCAAAGCAGCTTATTAAAAGGCAAAGATTTCTTGTGTATCATTTTAGCAATTTAGTATTCAAAAGACAAAGGGTGCAAATACCTTGTGACTCATGGCCATGTGTTTCCCATACTGAAATGCCATATCCTGCACCTCAGCACCATGTTTTGCTAACTCCATTGCAGCTTGGCAGCTCTTTGCTAGTAAGGCACCGTGAGAGAGAAAAGTCTGCTCCTTCCAAGTAGATATTCCAATATCATCTATGATAGAATTTTCCTAAAAATGTAACAAAAGACAAAAGACAAAAAAAGGTTTTAGGAGTAATTTGTTTCTGTTTTTGAAGAAAAAAAGAGTTAAGAAAAGAACTAGGGATTCCAAGATGGTGGCTAGAGAGAGGAAGCAGGAAGCATGCCGCCTAAAATAAAATCTTGGAGAGATGCTGGAGACACACCTTACAGGAAAAACCACCAAGAAGAGGCAAAACTTTGACTCCTCCACACCTCCAGCCCACGTGTAACATTCCCACTTCATGTTAAAGGGAGAAACCAGGAGGGCTCCCGCACCACCGCCAGACAGCAGCGCCCAGACGGCTTGGGAAGACGCAGACCACAAGGTGAGCTAAGCGGCACATGGTACTCCCACAGACAACCCTGGGCCAGATCAGCATAGCCCCCTGGACAGACCAACCCCCACCCAGGGAAAAAAGAAAAAAAAAACTGAATAATAAGCAATAACAACAATAAAGACATGTAGCAAAGAGGGCAGGGCATCCTGAGTGTGGAAGTGGGGGGAGGGGAAATCCCTCACAACAAGCCGCTGGAGAAGGCAGGAGCGGTGGCACAAGCCCAGCAATCAGGAGCAGGAAAGACCCACTTCCCATGTGAACTGTAAATAAACACACTGGTCTGAGAAAGCTGGTGCAGTGTCACCTTTCCCAGTGTGCTTGGAAAGGGGAAAGCTTGTAGCAGTGGTGGTGGCACCCAGGAGAACTCTAAGTAAACAAAGCCTGAGGGGTAGGGGAGTGTTTAAGCTCACTCCTGAGATCTGCATAAATAAAGCCTCCACTAACAGCAGGCTGACAGCAGCAGGCAGGTGAGCCACAGCCTCAGATACCATTCACAGAACTGTCTCCAGACTTTTTTTTTTTCACCCTACCTTTGATGAGACGACAACCAAACTACACCTGCATGCTGAAAAACTTACTGAAACCGGATTGCATTTGAGCTTGGGACACTGTGTGGTGTTTTTTGTTTTTGTTTTGTTTTGTTTCCCCTTTGATGAGACAACGACAGAACTACTTCTAAGACACCATCTCCAGGATTGGAAGCTGAGGGATTAACACCAAAATTATTGAGACTGAAACTTTATTGCATTTGAACTTGGAGATTTTTTTTTTTTTTTTTTTATTTTTATTTAATTTTTTTTCTCAATCCTCTGTCTAATACCTGTTCAGCTTACTGTTGATTAGTACACTATCTCTCCCTGTTTATATCTTTGAAACTTTTGTTTGTTTGTTTGTTTGCTTTGTTTTGTTTGTTCACTTGTTTTCCCCTTTTTCTTTAACTTCTTTGCTTTCCCTCTCCTCTTACTCTTCCATTCTAAATATCACCGTTGTTATTATTACAAGCTAGAAAATACTTAATTGCACACAGTACAGGGACAATAATAACACCAAGGGCAATGATGGGAAGACAGAAAAAACAGAGAAACCAGTTTCCCCACAGGAAAAAATTAGTACAGGAACCAGAGGGAAATGAAGAAAACAGATACTCAGATCCAGACTCCAACAAAACGAAAATAAACTATGCCAAAGAACCCAATGAAGCCTACAAGAATAATCTAAAAGAAGAAATACTACAGGTAATCAATGAGAATTTTATAGAGATGATACTGGATATGGTCAACCAAAATGTACAGGAGACACTCAAGAAATTCCAAGACAACAAAAATAGAGAATTTGAAAAAACACAAGAAGAAATAAAAGAAACCATAGAAGCACTGCATAAATACCAAAGTGAAACAAAGAACATGATTAATAAAGAGAAAAATGAACTCAGGACTAAAATAGACAATATTAAAGAGGAAACAACTCAGGATATGGAAAACTTCAGAAAAAAAGAATGAAACAGAATTGCAGAACAGAATGGAATCTCAGAACTCGAAGATGAAGTGGTAATTAAAGGAAAAACCGAAAAACTATTAGTTAAACAACCCAAGACCTGTGAAAAGAAAATGCAAGAACTCGCTGACTCCATCAAAAGACCAAACCTGAGAATCATTGGCATTGAAGAAGGAGAAGGTGCAAGCAAAGGGAATGCATAATATATTCAACAAAATAATAACATAAAATTTCCCAAATCCAGAGAAATCTATTCCCATACAGATGCAAGAGGCCTCCAGAACACCACACAGACCAGACCAAAATAGAACTTCCCCACGGCATATCATCATTAAAACAACAAACACAGAGACCTGAGAAAGAATATTGAAGGCTGTAAGAGAGAAAAAACAAATAACATACAAAGGTAAACCCATCAAAATCACAGCAGACTTCTTAACAGAAACATTAAAAGCAAGAAGAGCGTGGAGTGAGATCTTCCGGGCACTGAATGAAAATAACTTCAACCCTAGGACACTCTACCCAGCAAAATTATCATTCAAAATAGATGGAGCAATAAAAGTCTTCCATGATAAGCAGAAACTAAAACACTATGTGACCACAAAGTCGCCACTACAAAAGATTCTTCAAGGGATTCTGCACACAGAAAGTGAAACCCAACATAACCATGAAAGGGCAGGCAGCACCAAACCACAGGAAAAGAAAAGAAAGTAGAGAGTAACCTCAATTTAGGAGTTGGAGTAGGAAATACTCTGGAGTTAGTAGGTATAGGCAAGAACTTTCTCAATGGAACCCCAGCAGCACAGCAACTAAGAGATAGCACAGGTAAATGGGACTTCATAAAACTAAAAAGCTTCTGCTCAACAAAAGAAATGGTCTCTAAACTGAAGAGAACACCCACCCAGAATATATAGGGAACTTAAAAAACTAAAGTCTCCCAAAATTAATGAACCAATAAAGAAACAGGGAAGTGAACTAAACAGAACTTTCTCAAAAGAAGAAATTCAAATGGCCAAAAAACACATGAAAAAATGCTCACCATCTCTAGCAATAAAGGAAATGCAAATTAAAACCACACTAAGATTCCACCTCACCCCTGTTAGAATAGCCATCATTAGCAACACCACCAACAACAGGTGTTGGCAAGGATTCGGGGAAAAAGGAACCCTCTTATACTGTTGGTGTGAATGTAAACTAGTACAACCACTCTGAAAAAAAAATTTGGAGGCTACTTAAAAATCTAAACAGAGATCTACCATATGATCCAACAATACCACTTTTGGGGATATACCCAAAAGAATGTGACTCAGATTACTCCAGAGGCACCTACACACCCATGTTTATTGCAGCACTATTCACAATAGCCACTACTGATGAATGGATTAAGAAAATGTGGTATTTATACATAATGGAATTTTATGCAGCCATGAAGAAGAACGAAATGTTATCATTCGCTGGTAAATGGATGGAATTGGAGAACATCATTCTGAGTGAGGTTAGCCTGGCCCAAAAGACCAAAAATTGTATGTTCTCCCTCATATGCAGACATTAGATCAAGGGCAAAAACAACAAGGGGATTGGACTTTGATCACATGATAAAGCGAGAGCACACAAGGGAGGTATGAGGATAGGTAAGACACCTAAAAAACTAGATAGCATTTGTTGCCCTCAACGCAGAGAAACTAAAGCAGATACCTTAAAGCAACTGAGGCCAATAGGAGAAGGGGACCAGGAACTACAGAAAAGGTTAGATCAAGAAGAATTAACTTAGAAGGTAACACACATGCACAGGAAATCAATGCGAGTCAACTCCCTGTACAGTTATCCTTATCTCAACTAGCAAAAACCCTTGTTCCTTCCTATTATTGGTTATACTCTCTCTTCAACAAAATTAGAGATAAGGGCAAAATACTTTCTGCTGGGTAGCAAGGGGCAAGTGGGGAGAAATGACCCAAACATTCTATGTACATATGAATAAAATAAAAATTAAAAAAAAAAGAACTATTCAAAACACGCAGGCTACTGCAACAAGCCAGAGCTAAAACACACTGAACCTCAGCTTCACCTAAAAAGAATGGGAAAGGGGATTTTTTTTTAGGGTGATGGAGAAAATGTGAAAGAAATGTTAAGGCAGATTTTTATTTTGAGCTATGGAACTTCTATTGAAACGTAGTATAAATGGGATTAGACTATGAGCACATGATAAAAGCTTTAGCACACAAGGGACGGGTGAGGATAGGTAAGACACCTAAAAAATTAGCTAGCATTTGTTGCCCTTAACGCAGAGAAACTAAAGCAGATACCTTAAATGCAACTGAGGCCAATAGGAAAAGGGGAACAGGTACTAGAGAAAAGGCTAGATCAAAAAGAATTAACCTAGAAGGTAACACCCACGCACAGGAAATCAATGTGAGTCAACTCCCTGTATAGCTATCCTTATCTCAACCAGCAAAAACCCTCGTCCCTTCCTGTTATTGCTTATACTCTCTCTATAACAAAATTAGAAATAAGGGCAAAATAGTTTCTGCTGGGTATTGAGGGGGTGGGGGGGAGAGGGAGGGGGTGGATTGGGTGGTAAGGGAGGGGGTGGATTGGGTGGTAAGGAAGGGGGTGGGGCAGGGGGGAGAAATGAACCAAGCCTTGTATACACATATGAATAATAAAAGAAAAAAAAAAGAAATGTAGTATAGAGGATAAAGCAAAAAGTAGAAATTTTGACCTTTTAAAATTACTCTCATAAATAATTCACATGAGTTTTTTTTCCTTTTTTTGGTGGTACTGGGGTTTGAACTAAGGGCCTCACGCTTGGTAAGCGTGTACTCTACCAGCCCTTGAGCTACTCCGCCAGCCCTCTTAGTGACATATTTTGTCTATCTAAAGAATACAGATATTATCATTTCAGCATATAGTCAATATTAATTTGTGAGCTATTTTATGTTCTTTTTCATGCTAAGTTTGTAAAATCAGTGTGTATTTTACACTTACAACACTCACTAGTCACAGTTCAAGTGCTGAACATTGGATGGGTAGGTCCTGGACAGTGATGAAGCAAACATATGAAACAATGTTTATATGGTATTTCTTTAGAACCCATCCAGAAGGATTAATTAATCCAAATGCTTTTCTTCCTGTCCCCATATCATACATATCCCCTCTC